AACACTTTATGTAGTTAGGACCGCCGGATGGATAGTATTCGGATTACCCCGATGATTTCACTGTCATGCTTATGCATTGAGGGGTAATCATTCACATAAAAATAAGCTGAATAAGTGAAAAGCAAATGTCTGAAAAAGTTGTCAAGCGTAATGACAAATGACGAAGCAGCGGGAGGCAGAACATTTTTGTGTTGAGTTACTTGGTGTTGGAGATGGATACTCCATCATTCGTGGAACAGAAATAGTAATTATTGTCCAGGAGGACAAAGCGACCAACAAAATTTTCAAATCGCTCCTCCAAGCAGTTGCATATGGTACAAAAATGTGGTCGAGAGTTCAAACATCGACCAGGAACCTGATCACTTGTTGATCTGCATGGTAGCAGTGGTGTTTACTTGTAGAAGTTTATTCATTACTAGTTTTAGTAGTCATAATAGGAAGATCAGTTTTAGTTTATTTCTCTAATTAATAGTCTTGTAGTGACAATATAAAAGTTTTTAAGTCATACAGGTTGAAAAGAAAACACTTTGGCAGACCAGCTCATCAAGTCAATGGTTTGGATTGTGTGATTTTGTTTTAAGGTATGAGAATTTTTGTTGTTTGATTGCWAGGGACTAAGGATTGTTTTCACGCTTGGTTGAGACTGTCCTAGTCGACCGGCGTACGCTTCGTACTTGGGAGATCAGCGCCCCAGGGAACAAACGGCGTTCGGGTCCATTCGGCGTTTAGCCAAACATTTCCTATACTGCAGCGAGACGAGCAAACGCCCTCGACTGATCTACCTCAGCGATTCCATTGAAAAGCCTTCGCACGTGGATCAGTAGCTCGGTAGGGATACGCCCCTAAGGGTGGTGACAGCCCCTTAGGGATGCAAGCTTATGCCCCGCGAAAACCTATCCTGTCGTAGGGGATCGCGGGATGTATAGTTGGCGCACCCGGCTAGAGCGGCGAAGGAGCGATGCAACCGCGTCCGTCTCGGCGGTTCATGGAATGTTATGCGTCGTTCCCAAGTTGTCTCTCGATGATGTTGTTTTAGGTAAACTCCTGCGTGACATGGCCGGGAGGGCCCTCGTTTTCATGCGAGGGTCGATGCGCTCGACACCGTAATTCGAAAGTCTTGCCAATTGTTATAGATTTGTTTCAAATCTGGTCAATTGCCCAGTGAACACATCGGCCAGTTGATGGGAAGGATGTTGGAGGTCGCACTTGGATAACGAATGACAGGGAAGTCCCAAGCAACCGCTTTATCAAAGACGCTCATGCGAAGAGAGCCATCGGAACGGACCCGTAGATGCATACCTAAAAAGGTACAGGAGTCATCTGTAGTTGTAGTCTCCTTCCACTCAAGCCCATAGTGCTCTGGTGGAGGAGGTAATTCTCCCCATGAAAGAACATCATCAATGAGGCGATAGGTGAAGGCATATTGTTGAGCAACTTGAAGATCATCTTGACGAATGTCATCAACAAAGCGTGCTTTATCCCAATACAGTGTCCGATTTTCAGGGCTAGCATTCGTTCCCATTGGAATACTGATAATTTGTTTCCAAAGTGTGCCATCTCTCGCGTATAGAACAGTGTTTTGTACAACAAAGCGAAGATGTTGGAGAATATGAGAAACAGAAAGGGTATCCGGGCCTGAATCAGTCGTCCATTAGCGACAACGAGGTCCTCGAATAACCATGTTGAGGGCAACGCTGCGTGAATGCGTGCGAGGTTGCCGAAGGGCATAAGCATGAGTTTCATCAACAACGTTTGCCACATTATTCAGAATGCGGTCATGAGGAAGGTTGGTGTACATTGTAGTAAAATCAACAGTGCGAGGAGAGAGGCCACGAAGAGACGATGCATTGTTTTCCAGGTCAATCGCCACCTCATCGGCACTCTGGACGATCCAGCACCGTCGAACACCTTCCTGTTGATAGAGCTCAGTGTCTTTCTCGCGAAGAGTAGAGATCACTCCTTGCGAAGCGGCGTTGAGATACGACGAAGTAGTCGTTGTGCTAGCCAAGGGTTTGTGAGGAGGCCGTTCATGAATGGTGCGAATTGTTGGACGAGGGCGAGAGAGAGAGAGAGAGAGAGAGAGAGAGAGAGAGAGAGAGAGAGAGAGAGAGAGAGAGAGAGAGAGAGAGAG